GAGATAGGTGGATTGGGGTACACGAACCAATTCGTGTCACATGCGTTTAGTTGTGGGCATAATCGCTCTACAGAATTCGTAATTTTATCCCTTTGGAGTGAATTCATAACCTCAAATCTATCCGAAAACGAAATCTTGTATGATCAAGCAATCGAATCAGACGAATCGGTTTTACGAGCTGAATAAACTCGATCTCATTTTATCGTTCGGTTGAATCAATCATTTACAGAACATCTTGTTGCGCTTCACCGAGGTGCAAATAGATGAGAATAGTGATCATTTGTGCATGTGTCAGCGAGAATACGGAGATGGGTTTGATTCTGTGTTGCTTGACCTGACAAAAGTGTTAATTTTCTACGCTCATACTTAGCTATTCAAGCCTTATAATCCAGGATGGAATAGCAATCGGATCCCCCGTCGAGAGCATCGTTTGCTGTCTAAAGTAGGAAATGGTCTCATTGATTCGTGTGTAACAATCAAGGATTATCTGATGAGCAAATTCAATGCTGCCGTTTCTTCATCCAGTTTCATGAAACGAGGTGTATGCATGAGCGCCTTTTTGCTTTCACGCGACTTTCTCATACGTGAGGCTGAGTTAGTTTCACAGATGAAGTCGTGAAGAGCCTTGGGATTTGGTAATTTCTGCCAGACTATCACCGACTCTTATCACACGAGATGGTTCTTAAGGATTCCAGTCAAAGAAAATTGCAAAACTAAGCGAACGCTTATTGAAAGAGTCAAAAATGCGCGTTAAATAATGGAGGAGCGCGCCACATTCAAAGGGTTGTGCACAGCCTAGATTTCTCCCGAATGGAAAATAGGAGAACACCGATGGAGCAAATGAAACAATCGGATTGCAGCAATCTGTTCGTTACATTGGATACCGCCAATTCAGTAAAATCAAGAAAACGGCGGAAATATCCCACGTTGGTGACGAGTCCAAATTCACTGATTTTGCGGGATTTTTCAGGGAAAATTAGGCTCTCTAACAGAAGTGTTCTTTCAAGTGGCACTCCAAAGAGCTTGGCCTTTTCCCTTGAGGATGCACAGTCAAGTACTATCTGTGGAGTCAAAAGGTGATTACAATAGTCTTATTAAGTGGCGGGCCAAATGGGCACGCGCCACGACGCTCCCTATGGACATTAGTAATTTGCTGTAGTAGCTGAATAGTTTGCCCGATGAAAATTCATCCCGTCGATAGACATCACCGCAGATCGTCGGCAACCATGTGTTTAGTAAAGCAACGTCCAGATATTGATGGTCAACCAAATAAGCAGACATTCTCTTACCTGCAACCTGGAGACGCGCCTAATTGTGTACGGTTAAGCTGATTGTGAACTAGATAGCCTACCCTCTACGCGGTTAATGTCGTGCGCATTTGAGTTATGGAGATTTGAAGTCACCCACCTTATCAATTTCTCTGCAAAATTAGTGCAATGAAATTCTAAATTTTCTCTTCGATCTTACTTTCAACCTTTCCTGTCCTTCTCCTCATGTTCATCCAAATGGGCAGCCAAAAGACAGCAACCAAAAGCGGCACACAATAATGCATGGTTAATGGTTGTAGAAACTGAAACTGAAACATTAGTCTAACCTGGCAAGAGGTGATAACCGAAGCAATATCGCTCTTCGTTCTTTATTATGCCCTTAAGTATCTCTAATCAGCGTATCAGTCTTTTGGATCCGAGAGATTCAGTCCACATGCAAATCGTGGAATGTTTTTCTTTTTATAAAGACTATTGTACCGCAATTTGTTTGGCACACAGTCTGAACTCAGACGTGTGTGAAATATATATATCGCTAGACGTCAACTCGGCACAACTGAACGGGTAAATAATTCAAAATACCACATAACAAGTATCCTTCAGAAGTTGATATCAGTGGCCGCTTTTTCTGGTCACTTGCAACATGTTCTCTCCATATTCTGCTAAGCGGTTCTTGGTTATCACCTTTTACTTACTGAAAGTCATTTTTCAAATCCAAGGAGTCGGAAAAATATGGCTAACTCAGAATCATATGCTCTAGGTGGGGACCACATATGAACGGGACAGTTTTTTCAGCGAATATTGGAGTTAATTTTGTATTATAGGGTGGTATGCTATTTGTACAACGCTATTAAAGGAACTGTGGTTTACAATACCAGAGATTATCTTAGTAGGATAGATTTATCAATATCCGTCATGAGAATACTCGCTCGGTGTCAGATGGTTGCGAGGCTGAGTGCTCAAACATTTATTTACCAAAGGGTAAAATATGGGATGGTTACCTTTGATAAGTTGCCCTAATTTGTAAGTACTTTCATTGTTGTTTATCTTGTCATTTGAAATGTCAAAGCATTGTTAGGCCGTGAGCGCTAGAAGCAACGAACTCCCCCCCCCCATTGTTGAAGTTCGCTCCTATTCTGGGCATATGCGTGTGTGCATATACTCGGATAAACGGTGACTCAGCTTTTTTTCAATTGAGTTTTCTTCTACCACCGGTCTTTGCAACCTTCACCCGGGTTCTTTCCGGCCATCTATTTTTTAGCTATTATCAAACCTTTTCTGCTCGAGTCAAAGTGCAGCCAGACTGCGGAAACATGCCATCGTACCAATCAGTAAACGAATAAATATTGAAGCCGATAACATGAGCCGTGCTGAATAATCACGGAAAACATTGTAGATCATTTGCAAAAGTGATTTTGTTAACGGATCCCAGAGACTTCAAAACACTGCATGGTTCACCGTAGCCTACACCGAAGAAAGTGTTTCTTCGGTAAATATGACCAAAACCTCTTATGCGTAAAACTGTGGGTGTCGATACAAGCGGAACGTGATTGACGCTTCCACAGACTCTTCAAGTGAGAACCATGGGTTACGATTTAGTGTTCTGTTCGCTGATTTGTTCATTATGGCACCGCCCTTTGTGATTGGCCCTTGACCTCATGGGTCCACTTAAACAGTCATATTGTAGGCGGAACAGTAGGCTTTTAGTTTAGGCTGCCTAGCTTGGGCGGGCGGCAACTGTCTAGTGAAATACAAAGACTTCTCCCACTGGCGAGAGGACACCCAAAGTACTCTGCTCCTACGTTTGTCCAGCGGAATTTTCGATCCGTTAACTGCTCCTCCCCACGTCTGTCGTATGTAAATGAAAACAGTGTTAGGAGTGAACTTCGCCATAATTGTAATTTAGCTTTTAAAACTCCTTGTTACGTTTCTTTGCTAACGCTTCTGAATTCGGTTTCTGTAAGTTCAAAAATTGTGGGTTATTATGGTCTTTGTCGGAGAGCGATCTATAATTTTCATCGGATGATGGTCATTTTTTAATACTTGCACCAATCACTCTGCGCTTTCATCCTTTTCATCATCTACCACGATGTTCTGAATAGCAATAGTTCGTGTGCCTGACCCGAACAATAGGGCGATATTGGAAAATGAGCAGTGCCTTTGGAAACCGCTCCCTACCATCCTTATTGTGGACAATATTCGAGATCCGGGAAATTTAGGCAGCTTGTTGCGCACGGCTGCTGGTTTTGGTCTTTCTGCGGTACTGGTTTCTAAAGGTGGGTTTATCCTGATCATCATTATTATTTGTCATTATATGCTGTTCTTAGACTCAAACGGCAAACTGCAAGCAATACATGTCTCTGGTCGTCCGACTACGTCTGTTTTGCAAGTGCTTGTATGGGTCCACGCTTCGGCCAGGTTTAAAGAGGTGTATGGTACATTACAACTGAAATCCACGCTCCGCTGCGAAGAACCGTGGTTACCTGTTACCGTAAATAATTTCGGCGACGATATAATGCCAGCAGCCGGAGACATATTTTGCTTTGATTATCACCAGTGTTGTCTTTATTCTCTGAATTTAGTTTGACAATAAAAGAGCCATCCGATCAAGATGTGGTCTAAGTTGGCTGGATTTTCGAAAACAGGTAGCACACTGGTCTTGTATTTAGGTGTGATCAAAACCAGTTCATCTGGGCCAACAGGTATATGATATTGGAGAATCGATGCGACGCTTTGTTCGGTTAATCTAAGTTAGTGGATTACTAGATAGGCAACTGGTAAAAGTGGCTAATGTAGACCGTCAGTAATATTGAGATTCGAAATATTCAGGCACCCGGTTGAAGCGACAAAAATCTCGTTCTCTTTGTTTAAAAATTCTTTTAACCAGTGTTAGCTCATATCAGATAAAGAATAAACATCGAAATTTTCCAGGGTTAGCAGACAGTTTCAAGTCATGAGCGCTTTCAGATTACAAGCTTTCGCAACTCCTCTTTGCGTTCGCATCCAAGTTGTATATTAAAAAAAAACACTTCATTGGGACTACGACTAACCGGTTACTTTACGGAAGTCTAGGAATTCGGAAGAATACACTGCGATCATTTGCCCCTGAGGCATGAAATCTAAACCGTTCAACACAATGCGGGAAGTTTCAATCATTTGTGTCAACCAGTCTAGGGAATTTTTTATTTATTTATGAGTATGTTCTTCATGTGGATTTAACACGTTGCTTACTACTATACGACCCTGAAAGCACTGAACAATTGTTTCATCCTCGTTGAGAATCGTCAGCAGTTCCATGGAGATTGGAACCCAGGATTTGGGGTGTTGTTAATCTCACAGAAGCTGAGCTTGCTACAGAGCAGAGCTACATGATATAGAGCTCATCCGTCCTTACTTTTTGGATAAACTGGACTTTAAACAATGATGGAACCTGTGTATTCACTGCTCATGGTTTCTACCGATACTGAAACAGCTCTTCAGTGTTTATACTATCGTTCAATCGCATTTAAGGGCACGCCGCTAGACTTATTTTGCAGCCTCATTCTATTTACACGTCATGAGATTTAGGAAAGTTGGTCAGTTTCCTACTGAAGTTTGCCGTTTTCCTTGACCATTACTAATTACAAAGATTGTAAAGTAGGTTAGGACATAGTCCTAATCGAGAGAAGTAAGCTTATCACAATGACGGTTTCTGGTACTACTGAATCATAACAGTTGATGTAGTCGTTCAGCATCTCTGTTCCGTGGAAACGATAAAAAATGATCTGGAACGGCGAATCGTTCCTAAAACTAGTGTTTGATTGAAACAGTATCTGATCTACCTTGGGGATCAGAAACCTGTTCTTGTGGTCTGAATAGTTCAAATGCAGGCCAAAACGAATTCTTGTGTACACAGCCTATTGAGTAAGTCCAGGCTGTGCATTGCTAATTGGGTGGGTGACTTTGTGATCCCCGGATAAGAGGCCAACAGGCTGAAAAATGCACAATGATACATATTGTTGATCAGCATGATAAAAAAACCTCACAGTTTTGATTGGCAATCACTTTTCCTACTACCCTTGCCTATGTTTACAGGTAGCGTGGATATATGGAACGATAAAGTAGTCCGTGCCGGTATGTCTGCACACTTTCGTATTCCGATATTTTCTGGTCTGAATTGGTCACACATTGGCCGTTATTTCTCACGTGCTCAAAGCGAAGATGCCAAACACTCCCTTTCGTATTTTCCCAAATGCTTTGTTGCTGATATTGCCAACAAAGCAGTTGATCAGATCCTGGACAGCTTTCGATCCACAACGGTAAGTTTATCATGTTCTTACATTTCACGCCGGTCGATCTGGTTGGCACTCGTGTCCTTAGTTTCATAACTAGTATTCGAGTTTTCTGCAACTGCTTTTTATCGGTTCTACTCATTTCTTTTCTGACGTTGTTGATTGTATAATTAAGGCTCATTATTGAAGTTCAGCTCACTCAGCTTCACTGATGATAATGATGACGATATTCTTGAAATCAACAACTGTTTTGAGACTAAATCGTTGCTTTATTTTCTCCTATCCGTTATCGCTTTTCGATACTTGTGCTCATTGTTGTTGGATCATTTGTGTTTCCGGAATCTCATTCGTCCGTTTTTATAGACCATTAGTCTTAGCTGACTGTATGAACTCCATTGCTACGAGCACAAATCATTTAGCATGTATGACCAATCGCTCACGACTCTGATAATCTTAGTGATCTAATAGTACTAGTACAATCAGGGGGTTCTTGGGTCGAGTGATAGCGAAGCTGTCTGCTGCGTACGGTTTAATGGATGATGCGATTGATTGGTGTTATTGCGATGGTCAAGCGGTAAAGTTGATCAACAGATCGGGTGTTCGAACCCCACTACCGCTGTTTCACCTTCCCCATTTCTGTGCATAACACAATAGTCTTTTGATTGGCCGCTTCACCCACCGTGAAAATTCTGTACAGTGAAGTACAAGAACGAAATAAAAAATAACGCTTACTCTACTTGACCATGACATTGTTTTATTTTAGCCAACAACAAATCCGGAATTCAACACTGAAAGGACTGAATATGAAAGCGACCAGGAAGAAGAGACGAGAAGTGAGAAACTACTACGGCTTGACAGCACACAGGCGGCTTTTCGCCTTCCCGTACCACAATGTCCACACTTCGCAGTAAACTATTTTCCTGAAGTCTCCCCATCCCCACCGTCATCCTTTCTCACCACCCATTCTACGATTGCTCTTATCGTAGGTGGTGAAGCTCATGGCTTGTCACCAGAAGCCTATCACTTGGCACATTTAACTGGCGGTTCGCGAATCTTTGTGCCATGCTCACCGGAAACTGAAAGTCTAAATGTTCTTTCCGCAGCATCAGCCATTTTAGGAGAGATGCAAAGACAATACATTCAGTCATACAACTGTGCACAAACTGTTGGTCACTGTAAATAAAACGACTAGTCACACACGTGATTCTTTTTGTCTTTCACATAATCTGGTTACACGAGATTTATTTCAGGCTGTTGGCTGCTGCTTGTATGTAATGTTGCTGATCCACTTTGGGTAAATTATTGGAATGCTCCTGTCGATTTATGAAATGGACTTTGATGTTGAGTATCAGGAGAATGCTTCACGTTTCTATATTGCTTATCTCATGATATGTCACACGCGTTTGAGTTCAGACTTTGTGTCAAACGAATCACAAATCTGTATAGCAAAGAAATTATTTCCTCGTATGCGGAATGCTATCAGGTTGCCCAGGTCAAAGAAGGTCAATTTTCTTGGGGAATTCACAACCAAAGCATTTGATTAAGTAAAACGTGACCCTCAAGGCTCAGAGGCAGCGTGTGAAAACGACAACCTATTGGGGACCACGATCCAGTTCATACACCAGATCCAACGTCCAGAGTACCCAATACACCTTGATACCCAATCTAGCCGGTGAAGATTGCTACATTCAGAAAGATGTGTTTGTGGTTCGTACTTCTCTTCTTAATTCCTTTTAAATCAGGGGTTTGAGCCAAATATCCTGGGTGAACTGCCAGTGGTTTACCGATCCGGTTATGGCCCCGGATATTGGCTTGTCGTCCTCTTGCTTAGGCGGGGAATTGCCTCATGAAGGCAATGAGTAGGGCTTCTTCAGCAGAAGTGGTTTGAGACGCTTGGTCGAGTAGGAGCATTTTGTGAGGTGCAGACGGATGACCAGTCACAACTCAAAACACCCACCCCCAACCGTACTCAGGCTTGTGGAGTCTAGTTTGTCGCCGTTTGAATCAGAACGATTGTCATTATGCCATTTTGAATAGGTTTAAAATAGGAAACCTAATACGCCTTAAGTTCAGTGATAGTAAGACTGCCAGTAGTGTTTGTGAAACCCAAATGATAAAAATCGTAAACAGATAAAGGGATTCAAATGATGTTACTTCCGGGACAAGTTTTTTAATACAGGGTTATCTATATCCAGGGTGTACTTAATATTTTTCTTGTGAACTTTTGGTTTATCTGGTCAAGTTATATAATGATTATTCTATTGCAGCCAAAGTTCGAGCAACCGGCCTTTGATTCATCCAAATGAATAGCAAAATTCTGATATCCATTCAGCTTAGCTGAGCAAGGTGTGTGCTAGCGGTCCAATCCTTATAGAGTACGAACAAAATAATGGAACTCCTTCCCCAGACTAGATTACAGCCTCCCAATGTCACCATTTCTTCGTACATTGGAATACCCAGTCGAGGTCTCGAGGTGTGTACCCTCGAACTTATCTCTTCCTCTAGCTTATGCGGCGCAGTGGTGCATCTCTCCCGCACACTATTATTGATCGGGATTGATCAGAATTCATCTTCACGCATGATCCTCGGTTCACCCAGTAACTTTGATCTAAGTGAAATACAAATTGATTTCCCTTTTATGATCCCTATTACTGAAACAATGAATTTAAGCGAGATTTGTAGTGGCGCAGTGATTTAGTGTCACCTGTGGTCTGAGGTTCGAACCCCGCCACCAGCACCCAACTTCGGTGTTAGGCACCTTTGCAGTCCTCCGGTTCAATGCCACGCCTAACCTAATGAGGTCTTACGTGGTTCGCCAACCCAAGCCCCGGGGTATAGGTTTCCATCACTGAAAAGCAGGCATGTCTACACGACTATGGGATCCATCCCGTACACACAAAATGTCTAATAAAATAAATGAAGTTACAACGTATGTAATAAAACCATAACAAATGCATTACTTCTAAATACGCGGCATTGTTTGACGGTACGTTCCGTCTCATAATGGGGCTGTATGTTGTTTCCGAAAAGTGTCTAGAGGATGTTTTAGGGTCTGAATGAGTTGTTTGGAGGAAAATAAACTGAATAGACTCAGTCTTTTTGAATGCGGAGTGCTTGCAAAACATCCATCCATCAAATATGCAACCATTGGGACTGCACTTTGTAAACACTTAGCAGTTGATAGTGCAAAACCAAATTTGTAGACATGATGGTCTTTGGTCTCAAACCCTTATGATTAAATATGAACGATATTGAGTCAACTCACGACACTACGACCGAAATTCTACCTAAGATTCATTTCAAAAGAACTGTTTTGGTTGTTACACTCGCTATTTTATGTTACTATTCTCGGCGTCGGGTATAAGTCAGCTTCTTGCAGGTCAGTGATGATGGTTCTCCATGTGTTGCTCTCTGCGACTAGGTCGGCGCACCGTGGAATCCACTTACCGGAGTAGTGCGCTTAGAAAATCGACCGAGTATGTGGCGATTCATACCCGTCTTGACTATGTTGATGCACGTCTTACGGCGATATCCGAGTGGACATTTCCAGTTCGTACAGAGTTTCACTGAAAAAGTTTTTCTTGCTGGTTTCTTTTCTAGTCAACGATAGAAGTGATTAAACTACAAAATATTTGTTGTTTAAGACACTTGGTGGTTTTCCGCACGCTTCCTCTGTATTTGGATTAACTACACGTTTAACTGAAAACAGACAAATGGTGTTTCAAGGACGTTTATGATTTCTACCACTTTCATAAATGGACCAGGTCGTAAGAATATTTCGTTACCAATCGTTAATGCATTGGGTCATTCTTACTTGAATTCCNTTGAATTCCATTGGGATTTTGTAAAAGGTTTAACAGACTCAATCGACACTGCATACAGAGTTCAGTTCTTCAATATTCGCGGCATTGTTCGGCTTTTGTTAAAAGTTGTGTCCGTAGCCCGAAATACATCTTACAGGACCTACAGTTCCTAGCACTTAGAGACCGCACTAGGATGATCATTATTGTTGTTTGCCGCTGATGTTGTTCTTCAGTGTTTTGCTGATGTTATTTCACTCACATCAGCAAATCTGGCTATCTTCTTCCAGTTTAGTCATTCTGTTCAGGGTTTGGCTATCAGTAATCCTTATTGCACATCTATTACTAATTCAACTCAAAGCCGATTATTGTATGAACGTCACTGAGTATGAATTGTCTTTTGGGGGACGTGATAGATTTCTGGATAGAATTTCTATCTTTACCAAAACACGTACACTGAAAACGTGTGCATAAATACTTGTCCACTATTCCCTAATCCGCTCGCGTGATCCTGTGCTATCTCCCCATCTCCATCAGCGTTGTTCAGTCATTCCTTTTATCAATCGTCTTGTGCCTAATGGAGGATAATGTTGGTGGTGGGAGAGGTTAATGAGCTGTCTTGTGATCTTTCGTCCGGTTCATTACTACGCCTAACCTGGCGGGGCTTTACATGGCTCACCACACCAAGTCCCGGGGCTTAAATTACCGGTTTTCATAACTGAACAGCGGTTCTTCGTAGTTATGGGGTCCACCTCGTCTGCTGTTCATCATACGAATGTCTGTAATAAAAAATGAATAGAATACCTTTGGGTTCCCGCGTTCAGTCCTCAGTTGAGCTTTCCACTTTGCACTAGTGCTGATATCTAATAGCATTGAAACAGCTTCACAACGCTTCCCAGTTTTTCAGTTCCCTTCTATACGAATTATACGATAAAATTTATCCAATAACTGTGAAGCGCCAATTCACGTGTTTAATCGCCATTGTATCAACTTTATTCAGAATCAGAGCGCTAAGTTTGGTCATCAGCAAAAATCTGAGTCATGCATGTGTTAGTTCCTAAATGAGATAATGACTTCTATTACTCGTACAAGCATTATACTAGTTCCAATTTATCCATTTACCTTATGTCAACCATCTTTCTGTCGATAACATTTTGATTGGTTTACTCTGGATGATCGTATCGTCTCACAAATAGATGTGGCTTTTATTTTTCCTATCTTATATGAAACTACATTCAGTTCAAATATCCTAAAGTGTGATGAACAGTGCATGCTTTTCTTGCCATCACTGAGTGTTCCTTGCTTGGTTATCTTTGTGACTTCTCTCTGTGTTGTTTCTCAGCCTGATTATGAGCGAACCGGTCGCCGCAGAGACTGTTCTCCCCGAAGACGAGTGCCAACCGAGTTCCGAAACCCGTAAACCGAATGACGCTTCGTCTTCATGTTCATGCTACG